TTAATTGCTATATTTACTTATCATTTAACCCATCATATCCAAAATATTATTGCTTAAAAATGTAAACAATATGAAAAAGTATAAATGAGATATTTTACATTTTTTTGTACTAAGTCTTCAGAATTCAGTGGCGAATTTGTACTTATAATAGCCAAATTTCAAGTGCTCGGCAGCCACCGTGGGCTATAGGCTCTGTGTTGGACGGTGTGGCTGTAGAGTAGGACACAAATATATTGCTATTGCCTGTGCCTCCCCTTGAAATTCTAGGAACAAATGAAAATTGTCAAGTGTTGTTCTTTGATGAATATAAATAGCAGAAATGAGAGCTTTACCATACAACACAGTGATTTTGTCCCCTAATCAATAGTAGATTTCCATGGATAGACTGGTGAAATAATGTTTGTGTTTTTATGATGCTTGGCAGGAGAACAGACAAATGGCTTATTGAACATTTACTGAGCACTCCTGCAGGCTAGGAAAATCCCTGGTCTTTCAGAGTGAACCATGATGTGGTCTGAACTTCAAGCCTTCTAGGAGGAAGATGTCCATGTACTCATTGACTTTCCTGGCTCCTGCAACACTCTTCATAACTTGATTGTGGCATTTATTACATATAGGAGAACATGTGATAAGCATAGGTAAGCTCTGTGAGGGAGTACGCTTAGCATGTTTGAGGAGCAGGGAAAGCCAGAGAGAGGAGAGATCCCACAGAGACGTCACAGGGAAGGAAGCTGTGGTCATGGAGGGCTAGGGGCACACTTAGCCTCTCCAGGACTTGGGCTTTTACTTGGAATGCTATGGGAAACATAGCTGCAGTTCTTAACCTGGCTGCATGGGTAGAATTCAGGTGAAAAATCACGTCTTTATTTTTCATGGAGCTTTAACTGAAATTTAGCATTTCCTTCCATTGTAAAAGTGTGCAAGAAACCACAGTAATGTCAGCAGTACTTGTAACTTTCTGTTTAACAGAAACCACAGGTATTTTCCTATCATATTATGGATTTGCAGATATGTGTAAATATCACTTATTGCTTATGCTCATCAGTACAGCAAAGTTATGACAATTATTAGACCACTGCTGAATCATATTTATTTAATGAAGCTCATATATGGTAATATGCATTTAAAAACATTATTCTGAGAGGGATCCTAGGCATAAATGAGGTTAAGAACACCGCCAATAGTGGGATTTGAGTGGAAGATTCATATGGTCTGATTTAACATTTTGTGAGCATCATTCTGGTGGGTTGGTGGTTGGTCAGGAGTAAAGGTGGAACACAGGGACACATTAGGTTGCTGTCGTAACAACCCAGGTGAGAGGTGCTGGTGACTGGGGCCAGCACTAGAGGTCATGAGAAGTGGTTGTATTCTCAGATACATTTTGAAGGGAGAGCCAACCCAGAGTGCTGCTGGGCTGGGAGAGAGGCACGTGAGAAAGCCAAGAGCAAGCTGAGGCTTTGGGTCTGAACCACTGGAGGAATGGAGTTGCCACAAACTAGGATGGGAGAGACAGCTGGGAGGAGGGCTTTAGAATGATAACACTGAGATGACTTTTAGATAGCCAGGTTTTGTTCATTTGGGGATGCAGTGTCCTTTAGATGGAGCCTATCCAAATCTACAGTATTTTAAATCTTCTGTCTGATACCAGTTTCTGAGAGAGGTGTGTTAAATCTTACCGCAATGATGGTGAATTCGTCAAATTCTTCTCTTAACCCTATCAATTTTTACTTCAATATCCTGAGGCTAAGGATACCTACAGATCTGATATTGTTATATCTTCCTAGTAAATTTTTACTTTTATTATCAAAAAAAGACCTCTTTTTTTTCTCATAATGATTTTTATCTTAAGATCTAGTAGTTTATCTGATGTTCATATAGCTCCACCAGCTTATTTTTTGGCTTTTAGTGGCCATTTCTCTTTCCTTTTCCTTTCAATGTTCCTTGGTATTAGGTATATTTTTTGTAACAGCTTTATTGAAATGTAATTCGCATACCATACAATTCACTCCCTTAACGTGTACAGTTTAGTGGGTTTTCGTGCATTCACCGTGTTGCACAGCCTTTGCCTCTATCTGGTTCCAAAGCATTTTTATTACCCTACAGCCTTCCTTGTCCCCGTTTCCTTCTCCCCCAGCCCCTGCCAACTGCTAATCTCCTTTCTGTCTCTAAACTTGCCTATCCTTGCCATTTCATAGAAATGAAATGATAAATACGTGGTCTTTTGTATGTGACTTCTTTCACTCAACCTAATGTTTTCAAGGTTCATTGTGTTGGAGCGTGTGTCGGTACTTCATTCCTTTTTATGGCTGAATAATATTCCATTTTATAAATACACCACTTTGTCTATCCGTTATCAAGTGATGGACATTTGGGTTGTTTCCACTTTGGGAGCTATTATTAGTGATGCTGCTGTGAACATTCATGTGCAAGGCTTTGTGTGGAAATATGTTTTTAATTCTCTTGAGTATTTTCCTAATACTTTTGTAGTCTTGTTATTCACATTTACACCTTTAATCCATCTGAACTAGATCTTAGTATGAAGTGGTCATATCAGAACCAAGTTTTTATCTTTCACTTAAAATTTATCATAAATACTATTAAGATGATATTAATTGATCATCTTTTTACCAGTTATAGCTGTAGATTGTTCTCTGCAAATAAGTCACTGTATCCATAGTATAGACCCATGCATTAAAGTTTAAGCACAGATTTTCACTGCTGTTGCTTTGCCTGCCATGGATTTGTCACCCCTTTTCTCTTGGGTGATGGAGCTGCCAAAGATTACTCAAAGCCCATCTCTTCTGAGCAGTGAGAAGCTCCCAAAAGGAGTTAATCTCCTGGAACCCTCAAGATAGAGTCATTCCTTCCATTTGGGAAATTAACCCCGAATTGGGGTTCTCTTCCTGCATTTATTCTCTAGACCAGGAAGTTACAGGAAGAGAACATAGGTGGGGTTTTTGCTAAGTACAGTTTAACAAGTTTAACAATAGAAGCTGGTAACATTCAGTAAGACAGGCAAGGTGACCTTCCATAATGCAGTTTGCAACAACAGATTGATTTTAGCAAACATTCTTTGTTATAGCAATTTCCCAGTATCTTTACATATCAGTCAGTAACCTGTCTGTCTTTGAACCAGCAGCTTTGCTGTGTTACAATTCTTTATCTTACAACAGAGACTATAAACTGGGGAAAATTTCCTGTCCTTTGCAAGGTCAATATTTGAAAATTCAAGGCTTTGGAAAACCAGGCCCCATGATGTACATTTCCTTTATGCATACTCCACACACTACAGTTAGAAGTTAAATTAGGTTAGGGCCGGCCCGGTGGCGCACTGGAGAGTGCGCTGCTTGGGAGTGTGGCGGCGCTCCCGCCGAGGGTTCGGATCCCATGTGGAGACTGGTTCCCGCTCACTGGCTGAGCGTGGTGCGGGCGCAACACCGAGGGTTGCAATCCTGTTGCCGGTCCCCAGTACGGGCGCGACAGCGAGGGTTGTGATCCCGTTACCGGTCAGTCAAAAAGACAAAAAGGAAAGAAAAAAAAAGAAGTTAAATTAGGTTAGAATATTTTACTTTATTAACATTAGGAGGAATAGCATTGTCTTGTTTAATGATAATACCCTAATGACTGGAGAGAATTCAGTGCAAGGACAGCTATATGCAGGACCCACTGCAAAATGAAAATATGGGGCTCTGGCCTAGGGTGGGGAAGTCACTGTCCTTTCCCCATGGGCCCACTCCTCCAACCCACAGCAAACAGGCATCTTTCCAAGGGCTTGCAACCTCTGCGCCAGGATGCACTGAACACCTGGGTGAGGGGGTGGTCAAGAGGTCCACCACACTGAGTTGCCAGCCAAGCACACCATGGCACTGCCTGCCTAGCATGGGGACTGTTTTGCTCTGACCAGGGACTTCACAGGTCTTGTGCCTAACCCTGACCCTCTCCATGCCTGTGTCCAGGACCCCACTGGGGGTAGAGGGTGATGGCTGAATGTGGACCTCCCAGTTGTCACCTCTGGCAGAGGGAGGCAGCAGTTGTTAGGCAAAGATGAACTGGCCCCTTGGAGCCCAAAGTGCCAGAGCAAGGATCAGGGGGAGAGAACCCATCACTGAGAGAGACCATGGGAAATGGGGAACACATGAGAGCCGAGGCTTCAAGCCCCCAGACACACTCCATTGTCTCACTGGACTTCACTTAAAAACACAAAATCAAAGGTAAAATGATAACAAATTTTAAGAAGGTGACCTCAGAGCATCAAACTCCAAATGTGAGACCCTTCAGAGCACTCAGCCCTGAGCTGTCCGTGGGTCCCACTCTCATGAAGCCAGCCCTGCTCTATGTGACTTCTTAACTTTTTAACATTCTTTAAACATTTGGCTCTGCATATGAAGTAAATATAAAATAAAGCATGGTGCTGAACATTTTAAATTAAATGAGTTTAAAGTGTATTTGTGTTATTTTTGGTTAATGGCATTATTAATGATTTTTACGTCATTCTTTGCACTTTTTTGTATGTTTTCTAGGTTTTCTAGAATGAAATGAGTTACTTTTGTAATTAATCAAACCCCGATGTTATATAAATGTACTTTACAAGATATTATTATTATTAATTTTAATTTTATTTTATTTTGTCAATATACAACGTGGTTGATTATTGTGGCCATTACCAAAATCTCCCTCCCCCCTCTCTCTCCCCCTTCCCTCCCAACAACATCATATCTGTTCACTTGTCGTATCAACTTCAAGGACTTGGATGGACCTAGAGAGAATTATATTAAGTGAAACAGGTTAGGTACAGAAAGAGAAATATCACATGTTCTCACTTATTTGTGGGATCTAAAAATAAATAAATAAATACACAAATAAACGGGGGGGAGGGAAGAAGACACAACAATTACGAGATATTTTATATAAGTGTGATATGTTACAATTCTGTCTCCATTTTTGGAGGGAATACTTATTTTAGTACTTTAACTTAAAAAACTGTTTCTCTCCTTACCCAGGTCCATTAATATCAGATTAGCCAATTGCATGGATACTCCTCATGTTGAAAATCTTGTCAGCACCATCATGCCGGGTAAAAACATATTGGAGGATTTAGCCCAATACAATGAGGCTCACAGAGACCCTGTAAGTACCTGATGTAACCAGACCTCATGATACAGGATTATTAGGACCCGTGCAGCTTCAGCCCTGCAGCTTGCTTTGACCTCAGTTGGCAAATCATGTGGTGGGGAGCGGCAGGGGTGGGGTAGAAGATGGGAACAAGAGGAGGAAACAAGGAAACTGGGGTTTTGAAAAGTGAGGCTATTCTCCTCAGTGGTGGCCCCCAGTCAGATACCTTATGTCCCTAACATGGGCATGGAAAATTTGGACTTGATCCAGACAAACATCACAAAGTGCAATAGATTCTAGTCTTCAGAATAGGCAAATACGATCGTGATTAGGGAAAGGTGGCTCAGGAATCTGTGAGTATCTGTTGCCCACCCCAGCAGCATTGACTATCACATTAGGGTAGCAGGACACCGTTTGACCCTACTGGATGAATTTGACCAGACCCTTTGGTTGAGTTGGCCACATCCTTAAGGACTGGATGGGGTGGGAAAGATCCTGTATGACAGATGTTGTCTATCACATTAGGGTAGCAGGACACCGTTTGACCCTACTGGATGAATTTGACCAGACCCTTTTGTTGAGTTGGCCACATCCTTAAGGACTGGATGGGGTGGGAAAGATCCTGTATGACAGATGTTGAGTTCTGTTTCTAGTGTAGCGACACATTATGTACTGTGGCAAAGGGCAGGCTAGTAGCCATCCTTACGTTAGCACAGCTGTCTTAAGGGCCATGCCTGTTCATTGGACTAGACATGGAATGATGCATATAGTTAGAGAACCATGCAGTTATTTTCTGATACATTTATTTTTTAAGTTTTTATTGCAATATGACCAAAAAACAGTTTGATGGGTTTCACAATTTGAATGTATCATGTAACCAGCACCTGTTTCAAGAAATGGACTAGCTCCAGCTGGCCAGAAGTCCCCATCATGGGGGACTTTCCCCCTAGGTTACTACCACCTCAGCTTCTAAGATCAGAGATTAGTTATGCCTATTTTGAACTTTATGTAAATGGAATCATACAGTTTGTTTTCTGATACCAAAGTTTCTTTTGCTCAGCGATATGTTTGTGTGATTCATCTATATTATGGCACAAAATATTTCATTGCATGAATATTTCTTCATTCTACTGTTGAAGACACTTGGGGAGTTTCAAGTTATTGACTCTTTTGAAAAAAAATCTTTTGGTTAATTTTTAAGTCATCAGGAGGGAGACACCAAACACTAAACATATTGACACATGCACAAATGTTTAATATATATAAAGGCATCAAATTAAAAGAAAACTTCCCTCCAGCACTTGTTCTGTGCTTTGTTTTGTGTTGGTATCTGTGTGTCTTCATTTCTTGCTTCTTCCCTCCTGGCGCCTCTGAGCAGTTCCATGTAGAGTCTGGTTCTCAAAGTGTGGTCTAAGGAACATTGAGGTGTCTGAGACATGAATTTTCAGGGGGTCTGTCAGATAAAAACTATTTTCATGATCAGAGTAAGAAATTATATTCCTCTTCCACTGTATTGATATTTGCACTGATGGTGCAAAAGCAATAATGGATAAAACTGCCTTGATCCTCAGTGTGGATCAAGGCAGTGGCACCAGACATCCTAGTTGTCATGGCAATCTTTGTCATCATCCCAGTAACAACAGGAGAAAGAAAACCACAGTGGTATATCACTGCACATCATAAGAGCTAAAACAAAAAATAGTGACACCACTAAATGCCGTGGAGAATGTGGGGAAATTGGAACACTCATCTGCTGCAGGTGGTTATGGGGAATGGTTCAGCCACTCTGGAAAACCTCTTGGCTATTTCTTAAAACACAAAAAATGCAACTATCCTATGACCTAGCAACTGTGCTCCTGGGCATTTATTCTAAATAAATGAGAACTTGTGTATGAATATTCATAGCAGCTGGAATTGGTCCAGATGTCCTTCAGCAGGTAAGTGGTTAAACAAACTGTGGCACGTCTATGCCGTGGAATACTGCTCAGCAATAAAAGGAATGAATAGTTGATACATGCATCAACTTGGGTGAATCTCCAGAAGATTATGCTGAGTGGGGAAGAAAAGAAACAGCTAATTCCTAAAAGTTATACACTGTATAGTTCCATTTATATGGCATTTTAAAATTACAAAATTTTAGCTATGGAGAACAGATTATTTGTAGCCAGGAGCTTAGGGTGGGGGGAGAAAAGTGCGGAGATAGAATAACACAAGGGATTTTTGTGAAATTACAAATGTTCAATATAATGACTGTGGTGATGGATACATAAACCTGTACAAGTGATGAAATCGTGTAAAACTCAACACACATATTTGTATCAACGTTAGTTTCCTGCTTGTCATGTTATACTATAGTTTTGCAAAATATCACCTTTAGGGGATACTAGACAAAGTTTACAAGGAACATCTGTATTATTTCTTACAACTGCATGTGAGTCTACAACTATCTCAATTAAAACTTCAATTGCAAAAAAAAGGAAAAGTCAGGTATAACCTTGATGAAGCAGTATATTAACTTTTTTAAAGCTCAACCCTTGAGTCCATGTATTTTTAGTATTCTGTGTGACAAAGTGAGAAATCTGCATGAGGCACTTCTGCTGCATCCTGAATGCAACATGCAGCATGCAGTTTCAAGAAAAAAGCATTTGTGCAGTTGTTTGAGTTGCATGGTGAACCAGCTGCCATTTTCATGGAACACCATTTTTACTTGAAAGAGCAACTAGTAGACAAAATATACTTTTTGAACTTAAGTATTTGGCAGACATTTTCTTAAAAATAATAAGGTGAGCCTGTCACTCCAAGAAAACAACTGCCAGCATTTGTCCCCTCTGATAAAATCCAAGCTTTCAAGAAAATAATAGAATTTTGAGAAACCAGTATCTGCCATCATGAGCTTGACAACTTCCCAATACTTAAAAGACTTTCTCTGATGAGTCTGGTGGTGATATTAACAAATTTGATTTGGTGTATTGTAATAAAATGGGTGAACATTTTGGAAAATCTGCATAGCTTGGTGAACTACTATTTTCCAGATAAGCAATGGATGATGTTACAAAAGCATGCATAGGTAAAAGATTCATTCACAGTGCAGAATGGATTGATGAATTTTAATAATTAATTTATTTATTTACTTTGACAGCTGGCCAGTATGGGGATCTGAATCCATGACATTGGTGTTATAAGGCTGTGCTCTAACCAACTGAGCTAACCAGCTAGCCCTAGACTGATGAATTTTAATATAGTAGCATACACAAAGTTCATTGGTATGGTTTTCAGATTCCATATTGCAGCTAATCTTTAAAACATTAATGCTAAGAAGGAGCTAAGGGCAGCCCCCTCCACAGGGAAGCAGGCAAGAGAGCACTCCCAGGGTCCTAGGCAGGAGCCAAGGGCAACACTCCCCATCCAGAAGCAGGCAACAGGGCACACCCGGGGTCCTAAGCACACTGAAAAGACCACTTCCATGCAGGTGGCCCATCACAGGCACAGTTGCTGCAAAAGTGGCTCTACACCACAGCAGTAGCCATAGCCACCACACTGGCGGCCCACCAGATACTTGATTGCATTGACACAAGGAGACTAGAGAAAGAAAAAGATGTCTGTTTCCTCAAAGCCTGCTCCAGAATAATAGAACAAGCAACTGCTTTACCAGATGACAAGATATCAGTGTAGAGATACTAGAAATATGAAACCCAAGAAAATATGACACCACCAAAAGAATACAGAAATTCTCAAATACCACACCCTATACAGCAGGGAATCCTTGAAATGACTGAAAAGAAATTCTGAGCAACAATCCTAAGGAAACTCACTGAGATGCAAGAAGACTCAGTTACACAATGTAATAAAATGAAGGGGAAAAAAGGTTACAAAGGAGGAAATTTACAAAGAGATTAATACCTTAAAAAAGAGTGTAGCAGGACTCACAGAACTGAAAGGTTCACTCAACAAAATATAAAACACAACTGAAAGCTTAAGCAGCAAGCTAGGACAAGCAAATGAAAGAATTTCTGAACTTGAAGATAGTTTTTTTGAAATAACCCAGGCAGACAAAAAAAAAAAAAGGAAAAAAAAATTTTTTTTTTTTTTAAAGATGACCGGTAAGGGGATCTTAACCCTTGACTTGGTGTTGTCAGCACCACGCTCACCCAGTGAGCTAACCAGCCATCCCTATATGGGATCCAAACCCGTGGCCTTGGTGTTATCAGCACCGCACTCTCCCGAGTGAGCCACGGGCCGGCCCAGGGAAAAAAAAAAATTTTTTTTTTT